CGACATGAAGTCAAAATTTCAACTTTTTTAAATTATGACTTTAATCTTAAAATTTCGTCTTTATTCTCACATTTTTGGTTTAAAAAAATTTCTATCCTGTAATTAATTTTTTCTCTTCTTGTGGCCTTAACTCTCTTTCGTAAGTATGAGCAGATACGCTTCGAAAAAAAAAAAAAATGTAAATGAAATAATTTATCTCAAAATTTGTTGTTTTTGTGTCTTAAAATACCAGCTGATCTACACTGTCAAAAGCAGGCAAAGTTTGAGCCAATTAAACCTTTCTAAACTTGCGGTGAGGCCAAAACATTCAGGTGAAAGTTACATCCAAATTACTTAATTTCCACTGCCAGCATGGGTGTGGGTATTCACATGTCTATGCTTATTTAGAGCACGTTTCAAAGAGAGACAATAAATGTGTGAAAAGTGGGCGAGTTCACAACAAACCGAAGTAGGACAGCTGAGTTAGAGAGGAGGAGAGGAGTCAATGGCGTGCAGCAGAGGAAAGAAGAAACCAAGCGACAGCGTCACCTTTAATCCCTGCAGCCAGCGGGGCAAAAAGCACAAACACAAACAGGTAGGATCCAAGCAGAGCAGAGAAGAGGGGAGGTGAAATAGGAAAAAAGGAAGAAGAGATTAAAGCAGAGAGGGGAGGAAAAGAAGATAAATGGCATGTCAGGTAAATGAGTGTTTTGAGAAGTTCTGTGTTTATGAACAACAGAGCTGCTCGCTGAAATTCCCCGGTGCTGATTCATCTTCATATGAGGAAGGATGTCCCATGTCAGTGGTTTTTTTTTTTTTTTTTTTTTTTTTATGTATGAACTGTTTTATTAAACAGTGTGTTCTGTGTGGGATGTGCTGTGTTCACACAAAGGTCATTAAGCATCAGTGAGTATCATGAAACATTGATGTGTATTCATTTGCATGCACATGTGCAAATAAGCGGATCAAAGCTTTTGTATTATTCTGTGTTTTGGATTAACAGGTTTTAAACTGGCTGTAAAAATGAAACGCATGATGAAGATGTGACTTTCTTCACTGTGTGTGTGCGTGTGCATGTGTGTGAGAGAGTGAGTGAGTGTGAGAGTGTGTCCTTTTATAAGTACTATGGGAGTTTTTTGATGCCAAATAATTGATGAGTCTGATCAGGAACTCCCACTCTGTTGCCATGGATACCCAACACTTACAAATTTTGGAAATTTTAAGCTGCAAGTAACACTTGCTTTGTCTTTGTAATTTTTTCTCCAGCTAGCTGTCATTGTGTTAGTAAAAAACAATACATTAATGCAGATACACTGTGTCTTTGTTTGAGCATGTTCATGTACATGTGAGCAACTTGTACCTCACATCTAAGCAGTAGAAGTATATATAGCAATGTGGGACTTCGTCTTTCTGCGTACTTGTTTTTCCTGGTTATCAGGGGAATAGCTTTGCAGCCTGCATGGGTTGTGTTTGTCTTAAAACAATAAAACTGGAAATGGAAACAGAAGAATTTCGATGCACAAACATGTAAGACGCACAAGCGCACATATTCATGCATGTATATACAGACAAAAGTGGCAACATGAATAATGCACGCTTGCACACTAAGAGGAATAAATAGGAAAAAAATATTGATATAATAAAGTAGATTCAGGCTTTTTCTTTTACTGATCCATCTACTTAAGAGGAAATCACACCTGCAGACACACTTCAGGCAAATTGTGTTATCCCCATCCAGTAAATCATCTGCCTTGCCGCTTGAAAGAAGATTCTTTGAGATGACAGCAAATGGTTGAAAACACATTTTTCAAAGTCTCACCTTCAATGAATTGCTTATTTATTGCTCTATATGGTTTTTGTGCCTGCCTGTATATAGCGTCGGTCATCCACTTCTGCTACACAGGTGTAGAGCGCACATAATAAAAATCCTCACTTCCACATTTGCCTTACTCCAAAATCTTCTCTCGTCATTTTCATGTCCCGTGGAGTTCAAGGACAGTGCCTGTGGAGGTTCCCATGTTTAACAAATGAGACCAGAGGAGTGTGCTCCAATTATCATGGCATCACACTGTGAAGCTTCTGTGGGAAATCACATGCCAAGGTGCAGAGACAGGCGCTTGAGGACTTTTGTTAAACCCTGGATTCATAAGGAATAATGTAGAAGAGAGGAGAGCTGTTTCTGTGAGTTCAGTGTGAAGTCATAATGGAAAAAAGGGATTTCTGTGGTGCTCAGCTCGACTTGTTAAGACTAGGCCTGGATTTGCAGTGACATTCACAACATCTAAAGGAGCCTATAGAGGCTGTCTGATAGATACACGGCCGTATCATGTTTAAGTCTCTATCAGGTTTTCCTGACATTTTCATGGGAGATGAAGTTAATGTCCCACTCTGATAATTTTTTTTTCACTAAAGTATTCTCAGTGGTCTTTAAATTGTGATTGTGAAGTTTTTTTAACCAAAAATCGCACTACCTGTGCCATTTTCAAGGGTTTTTATTCTGCAGAGCTCCAGTAGATCATTATTAACAATACTCAGAAAAGCGATTTCGCATTTAGTTTTCTTATGATATGTCCTGTAGCTTAAAAAAAATGCAATACGAACATGTGAAAAGCAAGAAAAACATGATTTCCATCTGAGTGGATCTTTAACAGCTTGCATATGAAGGTAAAAGAATCCCGCAAAACCTTAACAATGTAATTTTATTGAGAGTATACAGTATTTTTTGTCATATAAACAAGTTACAAGAGGCATAATTTCAAAAACAACTTGGAGGATTTAGAACACATTTTAATTTTACCCATCTGCCTGTTTTCCTGTTTTAGACAATACTACCCTGATCCTCACCCAGTGCACGGAGTCCAACTGATGAGGGTCGGAAAGCTGCAACATTACCTCGAACATCTTCAAGATGCACTGGAAACATTTAAACAGGTGAGAGGGGTGAATTTCTGTCAAACACTGCGTGATACAGTAATGTCACTAAAGTGTATTTTTCTTTTCCAGGCTCATCAGATCATAAAGATCACCCACAGTGACAGCCACCCCCTGACAACAGATTTATTGATGAAGATGGAGGAATGTCGTGCAGAGATTGCACAGCGGTCATCCAGCAGTCGCTGAGACTAGACCACACAAACTGGATCAGTTCCACCTGCTGTGTTAATACCTCATAGACATTATAGTTTTCAGTTGTTAAGGTCATTTTGAAATTGTTGTAACATCAGCCAAAAATGGAGAACATTAAATTCTACCAAAAGTAATATCTTAATATTAATAATTTACATATTTCTTTTCACTCCATACTTTCATAATCTCACCAAGTCTCTCAGGAGTTGTCATGAAAAAAGTTAAACTTCTGTGTTATTTTCTCTAGAAAGAGACAAAAATTAAATCTATATTTTTTTCAAATCCAGTCAAACAAACAACCACTGACACCTCTGTTATTTCTCTCCCCTTATGTTGTGTCTTGCAGGCAAACTAACCTTTATCCGATAGTCAACTTTGCATGTTAGTATGCTAATATGTGCTAATGAACACTGAAGATCAAGCCTATCTGAGTTTGATCTTAATGTGATTTGTTTGGCAGGTCATCAATTTTTATTGTAATATTTTTTTATTACAGAAAGTAAAAACTAAAGGTTTGCATAAACACAGGGATGGCTTTGGGTGATAGGTGGGTACCACTAGTCCTCTGCATGTTAGCACCATAGACTGTATATAGAATGGGTGCCGTCTGCCTCCTCACTGGGTGAAGCCACCCAGAGAACAGCACCCTCTGGTGACAGGCTGCAGTATAGGTCATAAATCCCGCCTCCTCCAGCAATCCCTATAGTGTTGTGGACAAACTTTAGAAATTTATTACACAGAATATATATTTTTCTCCCCCCTGCTTGCGATGTTGACATGTAGTTACTGTAAGACTGGTTTGTGCTCAAGTCCTCTTTTTTCTGTACAGCTCCATTTTTAAAAGTTATTAGGGGGTTCATGTTTTCTATAATTGACACTTATACAGCCTATGGGTGTACGAAGATTGTGTAGCTCACCCGGGAGATTCGCTGTTGAGCTGAGCGTCATCACAGCGACTGTCAACAACTCTCATGCTGAATGCTTACAATGTTATTGCGCAAGTGGTGGAGTGCGTACAACACTGCTGCGCAATGTTGGTTTCAGGAAGTGGAGAAAAAACGCAGAAATACAGAGAGCTTTTCGGCTTCAAATCCACATACTGGTGGGAGGCAGAACCAAGTTGTTCATAGTATATACAGTCTATGGTCAGCACCAACACTACCCTCACAAATGTGTTTGTGACATGAAGGTTCTTTAAACCAAAAACAAATTGAGTCTGTGTGTATTACTTGTTAAAATGTGTTCATAGGTATTTGCATATTCACCTGCCTAGCTTGTTTGCAGTGTTCAGTGCTCCTCATGATAGGAAAGGAAGGTCAAGATCCCCAAAGACACTGGGATACATCCTCTGAAAACCCTGAATGTAAAATCTGTGTAACAAACATATCACATATCTATGTGATATCTATGCACAAACACTTCGCTGAATGCAAAATAGGAACTCCGCTCCGAGTGTGAGAGGCCTCCATCTCCTGTGTTTATTTTGTGCATACCATCGAGACAAGTAATGAATAAATGTGTGTGTGTGTGTGTGTGCGGGCGCGCATGAATGTGTTGTTGCTTTAGTCAAGGCAGGTCATCCACACAAGCATTTTGCCTCCACACATGTCCATCACACACACTTCCCATGTTAATCCGTGTTTTTGTGTTTCACTTTGTCAGCGGGTGATTGTCAAGTTAAGCCCAGTGTGTGTGTGTGTGTGTGTGTGTGAGAGAGAGAGAGAGACAGGGAGAGAGAGAGGGTGCTCTTTCTCTCCCTCTCTCTCTCTCTCTCTCTCACACACACACACACAGACACACACTCCTCCCCAGTTAATCCTTAAACCTCTACCATTTACAAACAGATGACAGCATTTCCTCTGTGAGAGAAGATCTGTGTGCGTGTGTGTGCGTGTGTGTGTGTGTGTGTGTGTGTGTGTGTCGAGGATTATCCTGTTTGAGCACAAGTCCTTTAAGGTCACAAATAAAAGGTTTCTGCTTTCTGACGCTTTTTGCTCTCACAGCTGGGAAATCCAAAAGCCCAGAACCTTCCTCCATCCTGTGGTGATCAGGATATGAATAATTCTCTGATCATTAAGTGTGATTCAGGGGTCTTCATTGACAATTATGGAGCGGCTCCAGTGAGCTTTTGTTAATTGTATGATGTATAATGAAATGAATGTGATGACTGAGTGCAGTAATGACAGCAGTGGAGTGGATGGTCAGTGTTAAAGTCTGTAGTCTCCAGTGGAGTACAGCTGTTTTTACCTCCATTACTCCCTTCATTAGCTCTCTAGTTTCCCGTCTATCTCTCCCCCTTTTCTACTTTCTTTCTCTCAACAGCCATCAAATTAGACTCACCACTGCTTAACCATAACCCCGTCTCTCCCTCTCTGTCCGTCACTCACCCTCTCTTAACCCATTTTTTCCTGTCTCGCCTACTTCTCGAAGGCTCTCAAATTAAATTCACCTCTCTGTTAGTGTCTGGCCTCTCTCCTTCATTGCATTTCTCTGCAGACAGTCTGATGAGCTCAGACAAAAAAAACAGAGATTTTGGAGTCATTTTCATTTACTCCCCAAGTTTTCAATTCTCACTCATTTCAGCCAGTCTCCCTCTTTGTGTCTTTTCCTGCAACACCTCACCTTTGTGCTATTTTCGCACATAGCACCTTTTCCCATCTTTCTCTCACTTATTGTCAGGTCTCAGAAAAAGAGATTTAAAACAGATTACAACCACATCTGTGATTTCCAATTATGTTCAAGTTATTAACAGCGAAGCATAATCGATGTAACGGCAAATTATGGATCTGACACTTCATTAGATTATAGAGTGAGCCTTCACTGGATTTGTTTTATCCCTCTCCTGTCTGCTGCCAGGTCCTTCCAGACATGAGCTGCTGTTTTCAGAGACATGGAGGTTCTTTCTCAGGTTTCATGTCTTCGTTATCTTCATGTGTTTCAAGGTTTGATGATATGGAATCCTTTAACATTCCCATGCAGTCGTGATTAATCTCACCACGATAAAAAAAAGGGACAAACTATATCTCTGAGTCATTCCATCATGAAATATTACACCTTTTTTCTTCATAATCAGTAAGGAAATCACAGGACTGTTGAGCTCAATAAACTGGCTGTACAGCAGCTAGTTAAACTTTACCATCAGATCCTGTTATATTTGGACTTCCCTGCTCTATTTGTTTATATTCATAGCAATACACCTCTTTTAAAGTTAGGTGTTAGATCTGGTCTGTGCTAAGCGATCCATCGTACTCTAGTGTCAGGCAAAATTAGAGGCTGTGCCTATCTGCTGTGGATTGCCAGAGCAGAGACAGACTGAACTCAGATCTGGTGGAAAAATGGCAGGTAGTGTCATGGTTGACGAGAAGCTGATTTAATTTGTTTTAATTTTCGCTTTTCTCTAACTCTTTTTGGATCAGCTGGATAATAATGTGTTGATGCTTGAAAGAGCTCTGTTCAGAAAACTTCATAACTCAACTGTTAAGATCCTATTTTTTTTGTGATGCCATATCATCAGCAAATGATAGATACAAACATTACTAGTCCTCTACATGTCAGCACCATAGACTGTATGTAGAATGGACGCCGTCTGCCCTCCTCCACCCCGAGAACAGCACCCTCTGGTGACGGGCTGTTGTATAGGTCATAACTCCCCCCCAGCAAATCCTATGGAGCTGTGGACAAACTTAAGAAATTTCTTACACAGAATATATATCTTTTCCCCCCTCTTGCTTGCGACGTTGACATGTAGTTATTGTAAGACTGATTTGTGCTCAAGTCCTTTTTTTTCTGTACAGCTCCATTTTTAAAAGTTATTAGGGGGTTCATGTTTTCTATTATTGACACCTGATACAGCCTATGGGCGCACGAAGATTGCGTAGCTCACCTGGGGGATACGCTGTTTGAGCCAAGTGTAATCACAACAACTCTCTGTGACTCTCCCGCCAAATGCGTACAATGCTACTGTGCAATGCTGGTTTCAGGAAGTGGAGAAAAAAACGTGGAAATACCGAGAGCTTTTGGGTTTCAAATCCATATACTGGCGGAAGGCAGAACCAAGTTGTCTGTAGTATATACAGTCTATGATACATACATAAATACATGCTTAAGTGATGTGGAGGGAATTTTCAGAAATGTGCCATGTTCAGCGAGGTAAAAAAAAACATACTTACACACACTCAAAAAAATGATCTGGCCTCTTTGAGTCTGGCGTTTATGTTAAAATGTGCAGCAGTACCTATTGATTATAAGAGACCTCATTGAAAATGTAATTGATTTTTATTTACACAGTTAATATTAAACCTTATAGAAACTATAAAAAAGGGAAAGTGACCACAAATAAACAGCCCTCCCATGAAGTCACTGAATTAGCTGTAACTCCAATATATATATATATATATAAAGAGCACTTGAAAGGAAAAAAAATGAGCTCAATTTGAAGTGAAATCAATCTTTTTTTTTTTTTTTTTTTGCAGTATGGGGCAAATTAAGGGCAGAGTCACTTTTATGAAACATCAGTATTCCAGCAAAAAGGCTGACAGTTCAGATCAATTATCAATTCAGCAACCAGTCTCAGAAAAACTAGGAAAGCTGGCTTAGAAAACAGTCTAGGTAATTGAAAGGGAAGAGGGTAGTTATTAGTTTTGAGTGTTTTCGCTGCAGTACTTGGTGAATGCGACCCCAGTTTGTAAAAGCAGTTTGGAGTTTGACTCTTGGTTAAGTTTTTTAGCTCGTGCTGAATTTCACTGACTCTTCTATTTAATCCAAAGGTTAACATACTTTTAGCTGCTTACTTTGACCACACAGCTATAAAGCTCAGCTTACATGTTAGAATCCCAGCAGACTTTCTCAAACATGGTGGCCACCCAGTCCACCATCTATTCCAAGCAGTAAACCCACAATTGATGACTACCTCAACCCGACCTCAAAAAAATCTGAACTATCCATTTAATGCTTCTCTGTTGCCTGTGAGGCCCATTTGGTGAGAGAAGATTACACATTATTAGTCCAAAATTGCGTTGTCCTCTCTCATTTCCTGAATTCTCCTGCAGCATTTTTTCGTTCACTCTAACCTCACCCATCTTACTTTTCCTTTACTGCTTCAGCACTTTTCCTCCCTTTATTCTCTCTGCTCTCATCAATTCTCTCTCTTTACTTCTTTTCCCCCTTCCTGCTCCCTGCTGAGCCTGGTTGATCAAAGCAGGCTCAACAGGACAATATGTCACCTAGAAAGCTGCCTGTGGGCTGGTTGTACATAGAGGCACGCTCTCACACTGAGGAAAATGAGGAATATCTGCCGCTGAACAGGCACATGGTTCAAACATCTATCACCTGTCCTTACACTGAGGCTCATCATGTTCACAAAGAAGAAGCGAAGAATTCATTTTGACAGAAATTCTGAGGTAATTTTCTTATAATTGAAATCCCACTATGCAACGTAATGTAATTTCAACTTGATTTTCATACAAAATCATGAACAAATGAAATCTTGAGATGTTTGATGCTGTCATTTACTTGTGGAGACTTTATTTAAAAGGAGCAGTATTCAACATTTCCCACCGAGAAAGAAGAACAATAAAAACGCCCATGCAGCGATGCTTTTGCTGTGCAGGTTCAAAGCCCCTTAGATCTGACAAAGTGGATTGATACCTGACAACACTTTGTTCAAAGGAACTCCACAGCTAACAGAGAGCAGCCAGGTTGTTTGATCATGATTGTGGGATTAAGAATTGATACTGATACTGTTATAAAAACCTCTTAATGATTTGAGCCCTAATTGATACTATCGAGTCTTTTCAGCAATTATTTTTTTCTCTCCCTGTTCACACAGGTTTTATCACAGTATGAAAAGGATTTCTCTTTTTAAATACAGCATAAGATATTTACTCTTACCTCGCTCTTGCCTCAACAAACCCACCTTAAACACTTCAAAAATGTAATCATGTCACCTGGGGTTAGTTGGCTAACTCGCTGTTATCCTGATGATTTCAACTTGATTTTCAACTAAGAGGACTTAACCTTAAGTCTGGGTGTGCTAACTCCAGCTGCTTAGGATGCAAGAGGAGGATGGCAACCCTTCAGTACCAGCAGCAGTGGTAGCCAAAGTCAAACATTCTGCATTTTAGTATTGATAAACTGCATTTTACTTCATCTCTGTGTTTAGCTTTGGTAAAATATAGCTACACTACAGACCTCTTTACATGTCATCACCCTATTAAAATAATGGCCTGAGTCGTTTTTTGACGAAAATGAGTTTTTGGTCTAAATCATCTCTTGATAATGGTGGCCATCTCTGGTAAAATTGCATAAATCCGTAGTTGAAAGGATCATGCCATGATCCTTATCGTCACCAAATAGGGTGATGATGTAAAGCCATCCTTGCAAATAACTTACCATCAGAATTCTTCTGTGTGTAATAATATAAACCTGTTAGCCTCTAGTTTGATTTAATTTCCAAAAAAAAACTCTGTCAGACAGTCTGTGAACATGTGTGCACGACTGATTTAATTTACATGACGTTACTTCACTCAAAGTAACCACGAGATCTGATAGCGGACTTGGTTAAACTCAAACATAAATGATTTTCAGGTTTTAATCTAATATCCTAATTAAAGCCTGAAATTTCAGCAATTTTGATGTGAGGTTGTAGTAGTTAGCTATGTATTGGTCACAATGCATGCTGGTCAGCACAGGCCCTTTCACTGAAATACTGCTGAGGGAACAGACACTCTGGTTATGTTAGAGTTTTCTGCTAACAGGGTCAAGTCTGACCCGTAATTTAGCTCATTTTGAGAGGCTATGACCCAAGTGCTCATCTGGGTTTAAGTGTACACTCCTCTAAAACATTTTCAGCACCATCAGGAAGCCCATTTGGTTTTCCAGTAATTTTGGGGACATAAAACACTTACCTGCCATTAAGCACTCCTGTCCTCCAACCCTCTCACTCTGAGAGACATGATTTCTCCGAGGCAGTCTTTTCTTTTCTTTTCTTTTTTCTCAGTCTGTTGTGGTCAGAGGGGCGGTGGACAGGGTGTCTGGTCGGTTCTTTGTTGGCTGATATAAAATGAAGATTCAGATGCAAAACTCTTTTAGTACATTTCTTTATTTACATCCCTCCACTTCGCTCTTTCACCAGCACATAGAGTCAGACCACATTTCTCAAAGACAATGAATCTGCTAGGGACATGTCAAATGTGTCATGATGGTCATTTTTTTTAAACCAGTAAATAGTGAAAATCTTTCCCCTCTATCTTCTCTGGTTTGCACTAATCGTGTTGTGACGGGTCACATCTCCAAGAGAATTCTACCTCTTCACCTGAAGAGATTGGCAGAGATGAAATGACACAAAAGATTTTTTTTTTAAATCAGCAATGTTTAGGTTTTCCCTGCTGCTGACCTGCAGTGTGACAACATATCAGAACTGTCCGTGTTGAACTGCAAAATACACGAAATGTCTTGAAATGTGCTCTGACCTACAAGTTCACTCAAAAGAACTTCAGGATGCTGTGTGTCAGATTTTCTGATAGCGCCTGACATTTCCTGCAGGAAAAGTCTGCACAGTGGTAAGTTTGTTTATCACGTTTTTGCCCAAAAATCAGGTTTAGCAAATGCTTGTTAGTGAAAAGCTGCTTCTTAACCGTCTCATTTTAACCTTTCTTTTAAAGCATGTTTGTGCCTGATGATTTGTGGAGCTGTAATACTGGAGGGTTTTTAGAGGCTGTTTTCTGAGCTCTGACCAATGTGGGGCCAACAAACACTCAGCTTTTTGTCATAATTATTGCTGGAATTATTAGTCAGTGCTACCACGGGAAATTTGGCAGTGACACGTTAGGGAGGAAAAAACCTCACACACAGCATCTTGAGTCTGGCTGATAAGCTCTTACCGAGGTTTGGCTTCCTAAAACATCCACTGCTCAGAGATATAATTGTATTATTTAAACAACACAGTTGTTTTCATGCTGATCAGTTCACTTTTAAAAGTCTTCTTAATAAGGTGTGTGTTTAGCTGTCGTGCTGAAGCCGGGTCACTTGCAGGGCTGTGAATGTTTTAGGAAGTCAAGACTCATCATAATCTCCAAGAAGTAAGAACAGGAGCAAACTAAACAGACAGAAAATATATTAAATAAAAACAAGTGTGTATATGATATGTGTACAGTATATATATTTATATATGACATGGGCTGTACAGTTTTTCACTTAAATGCATAGTAACTCAAGATCATAAGGTGTAAATAAATAAGGACATTGATAATCTGCTCTCCTGAGCTCAAATAAATAAACCTTCATTCATGACTGGCAGGGTGAACAGAGACCATCAGAGATGTGCCTCCAGCAGAAACACGACAAGAGTCCAGTCTGTCAAAAGTATCTCAGCTTCGAGGATGATGTCCTGTCAGATGATCCTGTAGCTGTCACTGCAGATGGATGACTGTTAACACTTCAAACAGACGACAGAAAATCAAAATATTGAAGTCACTCTCTGTTTCTGTGTCAGTCCTGATGAGATACAAAAACAAGTCTGTTTTTTAAAGGATCGAGATGCTTTTTGACAAATCTTGCCAACGTCATCATCATTTCCATTCCTGTGAAGTCTGTCGGTGTCTTTCTCTTTTCAAACAACAACTAGGATCTCCCAGAATGCTCTCTGCTTGCTGG